GGAGGGCTTATTTTAGCACATGGGTTCAAAAGCCCGACTGGGCTTATTATCCGGGGAGGTCTTATTTTCAGGAAAACAGGGTGCACACATACATAATATATAGACATAGTTTATTATTAATAGTTCAACTCAATCTGTACCCTCTTTGAGTTCTCTGGTTTTACGTATTAAGAAATAGAAAAAAGTCATCTGATCCTTAGCAGTTTTGAAAAGTATCGTGTTTCCCCAAAAATACAACATGTCCTGATAATAAGGCCATGCCACATTTTTCTGGTGGGCAAAAATATGAGCCCTCCCCTGCAAATAAGTCCCCTGGACAATCCCCCACCTCCGGCCAGACAGAGTGCCACTCACCAACCTAGTGTTATCCTGAAGGTGCCAAGCCACGGGAACCAGGGGGGAGGCAAAGGTGATTGCGTTGCTTGGCGCGTTCGGGATACTTCTAGGTTGGTGAGCAGCGCTGTTCCCAGCTGAAGAGGGGGGTTGCCGGGCAGCTGTTCTCTTGCGAGCGGGCTCCCAAAAACTGGCACAGCCTCATGGGCAAATGGTATGTTGCGCTGTCGCAGCAGTGTAACACAACAGCCATGAAGTGACCACGCTCATGAACAGCCACCCGGCAAAGATCCTTTCCAGCCGGGCACAGCACCATTCACTGACCTAGGGATATCGCCAAGCTGCGTCAGCGCCTGTTTGCCACTGCCCAGCTCTCGTGGCTTGGCGCCGTCGAAATGCCAGTGAAAGGCGCTCTGCACGGCTGGAGAGAGGGGTTGCGCAAACAGCTGTTCTGCTCCCGCTCACGCGCCTCCCAGCCTCACGATACCCTGGCCCAGCTCTCCCTGCAGAGCCAGAGCACCTCCACTGTCGCCGCCACCATCCTAGCATGGCTTTATCGGCGGTTTCCCAACAGAGTCTTCCAGCATGGTCACTGCTGGAAGACTCGGTTTGGAAGCCGCCGAAAAAGCCATGAGGCTGTGCCCGGCTCTTTGGGAGCCCGCTCATAAGAGAGCAGCCGCCCGGCAACCCCTAAACAATAAACCCTCCCCTCATAATAAGGCCCAAGCCATATTTTGTGGGTAAAAAGAAAATAAGACCCTGTCTTATTTTCAGGTAAACACAACCTCAGAGGAACAACAGATATACCATGTCATCATTTATTTTACAAAAAGGAAGCCAAAATAGAGAAGCTATGTGTGAAAACGTAAGTACACTCTTACTGCTTCCATAAGTATAAAGAGACTAAGTTAATCAACTGATCATCAGCTAGTGTGACTACCTTTATAAAAGCTGAAGTTTTAGGATTTTGCTGATCCCCAGCATTGAGCTGTGTGTTAACCCAATGCCAAATAGAAAAGACATCAGACAAGAAAAAAAACAAGAAACAACCAAACTCTCATCTACTCTATCTTGATTTCTTAATTGGGGACTTTCCTCCCATCTTAAGTTCTTTACAAGAAACAATAATCTTCCACCAATTTTAACTTATGAATACATGTTTACAATCCAGCAATAGTCATGTATGGTATTATTTAACAAATAATGAAAGAAAGACAAAAAAAATTCAGAAATATTCTCTCCAATATACAATTCCTAATTAGCTAAACTGTTGAATTCTTCACATATAGCCAGCTACTGCTTATAACTCACAAAGTTGTTTAAGAAACTTCAAAAGAACGCTATTGTAGGAAACGCCAGATTAAAATGTTATTTATTCTTAATATTAAAAAGAGGCAGGATAGAGTATTTCCCTTAAAGGAGAAATGAAGAAAAATCTCAGCAAAGCAGCCCCAGTCTTCCTGCCATAGGAAAACAGCCTCAAGCAGAAGTTTGAAGAACTTCTTTAGGAATGGAGATTTTGTATCCATTCAGAAAGCCTGGCCCAATCTATTCAAAAGCAAGGAGGCTCCAAATAAGCAACTCAATAGACAAGGAACCAAAGTTGACAAGATGAACTCAGACAAACAGCTACGATTTGCATTTCCCCTTTTGCTTGCAGAGCCAGCCGTGACCCCTACATGACCCCATAGGAATCTGGCAACAGCCATTAAAATATTGAAGGACATGTTCTTGCACAGGAACAGGCTTCTCAATCACAAAGCCCCAAAGAATGTATACAAGCCCACCTACTCTCAACCTCATTTTGTCAACCACCCCACACATTTCTGGCTACAAAATAAACCAACACTTCCTTTCCTGCAGCCTGCCCCCACTTTATTTCCAGTGTCTTTCTGCTGGATTGGACTGCATTTTTGTTCTAACAGTATTTCATCCCGTTATTTTTGTCTACTCTCATCCTGTTTAACTAAACTGATGGTAAATATCAACAGTGGATACAACATTTATTGTAAAATAGATGAAGTATGGCTTCAGGAACAGGTATTACAACAAATCATTCCCTACCTTAAGTGCTACTCTTAGATCAAAATAGGTTGGCAAGAAATGGGGGGAGGGGAATGAGATTTACATTTTAATGCAGATTTAGCAAACCTACAACCTCTAAACCCGGAAAGCTTAAAAAACACCCTTCACTGCTATTTTTGCTTTTGAATTTTCCTAAGCAAACAGTGAATATGGATGGATTTCTCTACAAGTAAACACAAACTGATGCAGAAATGGAATGGAATAAATTAGAATAAAATGCAATTGAACGCAATATATTATATAACAGAATTTGCACAATAATTTGATAACACTTAAAAAAATCCTTTTAGTACTGAAAAAAATAATCAGATGATTGCCTAGAAAAGAACACGTGTGATAATAGAAAGGCAAAAAAGTGACACTGCCTCACAGCCCATTCAAAGCCAGGTTTACATTAAGCCTTCATACCTTTTGGATAATTCTCCAGTGAGTCTCTTTGAATATTTGGGACTATTTTCTGCCACAACTGATTTCTTTGACTCATCCACTCTTGGTTTTGAAAAGCTATTCACTAGTGAAGTAGGGGAACAATAATGACTCGAGTTCTGAGCATGGTTGTCTGTGCTGTTAGATGATTCTGATGTACCTCCACACATTTTCAGTTCACAGACATGTCATAGGCATGATTTCTTCAAAATAATCATTTTATAGTTAAATATCCACAGAGATTACTGTGTCATAAGCTACTGAGGAGAGGAATGTCATACAAAAATTGGCTAGCAGTGACTTGGTCTTTTTTAAGAACAAAAATCACAACTGAATATCGTCTCCAATCAGTATTACTTCTTTAGATAAAATGTAACCCTTTACTAGGGGAGGAAGGGGAAGGAGAGAAGGGAAAGGAGAGGAGGAAGGAAGGAAGGAGAGAAGAAAGGGGGGTAGGAAGGGGGGAGGGAAGGAGGGAGGGAAGCAAGGAGGGAAGGAAGGAGGGAAGGAAGGAGAGAAGAAAGGAGGGAAGGAAGGAGGGAAGGAAGGAGA